TGTGGATTATTTTTATATTTAATAGTGCAGAAAATGATTTTTTGTTTCTATTGAAGCAACTCAAGTCTATTTTCAAGTGTTTGACTCAGAAAACACTTAAAGTGCAATTGGCCCTCTTCCACTGCAATGTCAACAGAAGTTAAAAGAAAAAAAAATGAAGAAAAAATACAATCTGTTGAAAAACAGAAACACTGGCCGAGTAATTGAACCTGCCCGTATTGCAGAAAATATTTTGACTGAAATCCAGTTTTGGGTGGGTTAGTTTTAAGAAGTAATTAACTATATGAGTAAGTAATTACAGGAAAGTAACTATTCTGTCACTTTAAAGAAACAAAAACAAAACAAAAAAGATCTTTATATCAGGGTTGTCAATATTAGCATGTTAGCACAGGCAATTAATCTAAATGATATTGTGTAAAGCAGATTAATTTTGGTCTAAAATCTCTGTGCCACAGAGGATTACCTAGGTGACAGCAGAGCAGATTTGTACTGTGGTGAACAGATGGAGCAAGAATTGTCTAACTGGTGCTCTCAGTTTTTTACAAAAAAAATGCTTTGGACATTTGGATTAAACGTCCATCACGATTCACAATGATTCATTATTCTTACACTAAAGCGCACAACCAGTTTATATTTAACACTTCTAAATTATGTTACGTTACATTATATAAAATTCATTTGAGACAATCAAAGATCTTCTTTAACATTTTAAAGACAATGTGCATATTTACATTTCAAGCTAACAAAGTTAAGCATGGTGATTAATCACAGTGCCTGAGTGTGATTGATCTGATGACATTTTTGAATCAATTGACATGGGAGGGGAAAAAATGGTGGCCATGACTTAATAACTCATTTGAACGACTGGTTTAATTTGAGGGTATGTTTTAATATCTCATGGGAGAAACTTATTTATTTTGTGGTTCATGAGTTCATTATAATGACTCGTATCCACAAGACATTGAGGTTTGTTTCACTCATGTCATCATAGAACCTCTGCTTACTAGAACTTTAAAATATATTTGGAAATGTTTATCATAAGGCAAAACCAATGAATGTACACTGAACAGAAGAAACTACAAATAGGAAACTAATACTGTGGCTACTTTATGGATTGGGACGATGGTGGCGACAGTGGTAGGAGTTTGTTCCTCAATCAGTGGGTTGCTGGTTTGAGTCCATCTCTGTCTTTGTGTCCTTGGGCAAAACATTTAATCTCCATGGTGGTGGAGCTTCTGTCAGATTGCCTCAGGGCAGCTGTGGCTACGGTCCAGTAGCTTATCACCATCAACGTGTGAATGACTAGATGTAGTGTAGAGTGCTTTGGAGTCCTCTGGACGAGATAAAACACAATGCAAGAAATGACCCTAAGTAATCTATTTAGATGGTTTTTCAAGCAAACAAAGTTGATTTGGGAGTTACCTTACATTTTTTAACTACATTATTTATCCACTTAAACAATCACTTCCTTCTCTCAGCCCCCTCTCTCTCAGCATGTGATCAAACAGAAATTCTCTGCATGCTGCAATAAGCAACCCTCAACCACCAGAGCAACACGGCGCCTCGGTTGGTGATCAGTATCTGTTTGTGAAAGTCCAACATGAAGTGGATTACTCTTTATCTCCTAACACTCTGCTTCCCTACGACCAGAGCCAGTGAGTATTCTGGGGTTTTGTAGTTTGAACATCAGTTTAGTTGTTAATATCCATCTAGGCTGTATTCAAATTGTTAGTCAGGTTTTTCTCGTACCTCTGGCTCGTTCAGTTGTCATTTTTGTTTGCCGTGAAAAGTTCTGACTTCTTCATGTTCTGTGTCCATTTTACAGACTGTAACCCTCAGCAAGTTATTGATGACTGTATAAAACAAGATCCTGTACTGTGGACCAGGTAAATGATGCTGCTGATGCTGTGCTTATTTGGTTGATTTTAAGCTCCTATTCTTTCTCCCTAATAGATTCTTCTTATTTTTTTCCATAATTTCCACAATAAATTTGCTTTGCTGTAAGATTTTTTTTCCTTTCAACTTGTTTTGCATTCACTGCTTTACTCATAGAGGAGTACAAAGCCACTTTTTTCTCTTGTGTTTGTTCACTGTTAAATTTGTGCTGAACTTGTTGTGGTTACAGTAGTTCTTGTGCTGCATCATTACGTAAATGATTGATTGTGAAACATTTCTTGGTAGGTGCTATGAAGATAAAATTGTGACGTGCAAACCAAGGAATCGTATGTTCCATGGGTTTGCTCTCCAGGAGGTCAACCCAGCAGACCAGGTGAGCTCATAGCTGGTGATCAGTGGTATGGCCTTTATTTGGGAAGCACCAATAAATAAATGAAATAAATTTCAAGCATTTCAAATGCTTGAAATTTATTAGAAATTTCAAGCATCTATTTAAGTGAATGTTGATAATTATGGCTTACAGCTAACAAACTCAGTTTTTCAGATAAATAAAACTAATAAAAAAGAAGTTTTAATACAGAAATGGTGCCTAGCCTCTAATGTGATTGTACTGTACAGCAGTGGTCCCCAACCTGGTCCTCAGGGTCCGCTGCCCCACATGTTTTTGATGAGGACGCACTAATACGCAGTGGTGGAGAAAGTACTCAAAAAATGTACTTAAGTAAAAGTACA